TCCCCTTCTCCTCCGCCTCCTCCTCATCTTCTTCCTCCTCCTCATCATCACCATCCTCCTCCTCCTTCTCCTGCTCCTCATCGATCCTGGGAGGGAGGATGCGAAGCCGGGATCTGCACACTGCCACCATTTCGGAGGACCGAGCTCCCAGAACCCCAGGAGGCAGTGGACATGGACATATTCGGGGCCCAGAGAGGGGAGACGTGAGACTCGGGTTAGGGAGACTCGGGTTGGCCAAACTGGGCCATCATGAAGACGAAGCGACCCAATCGACATCCCACGAAAACTGGACCGTCAAAATCCGGAACGCGCTCGTCAATAAGCGTCGGCAAACCCGAGTTCTGGCGTATTGTGGCACTTCGGTGCGGTAGCTTAGACCGTAAGGTTTAAAGGGTAAGGGTCGCAGGAGAGGCGGTTTGCGCTGAAGCTGTTTCGGCTCAGCAGCGCGCTGAACCCCTCTCTCTCTGCAAGGACAGGAGGGCCCCCTTGCGGGGGGGGCCACAGCCACGGAGGCAGGTGACTGGCTCGCGGCCCCGGCGCTCGCGGCCGTCCTGCGCTGAGGCGCGGGAGCCGCCGCCGCCGCCGCTGGCCCGCACCCCCCCGCGGCGCGCGCTGCCCTCACTGCGCCCGCCCTGGACGCGGTCTCGCCCGAGGAGGTGCGAGACGACACTTACGATGATCTTGTTCATCTCGCCTTCTCAAGCTTTCCGAAGCTTGATGACGCGGTCTCCCTGGTGGCCACAGCAGATGGCCGTGATGGGCCGACAGCTGCTGAACTCGTGCGGGGAGTCAAGCAGATGCAGGAGCGCCTCAGGGACACGTCGCCCACTTAGGCGACGCCATCGCTCCCCGTTGCGGCCAGGCCGCCGCCAGGAGGGAGCCCCCGCCAAGCAAGAGGCTACTGCATCTGCGCCGCGAGGCACCGTGCCGGGACCTGGGCGAGTACGCGTTGCACCTCGACACCTACAACCACGTGGATGCGGACGACCTGGTCGAGCTCGGGCAGCTCGCCGACCCCAGACTTGGCCGAGGGCAGCAGCTGGGGCTGGTAGTTCAGGCTGCCTGCCGCCTGCTCAAGGCCGCTGGGCGTCTGCTTGGAGCCTGCGGTCGCCGCTGCCTGGTGAGCAGCCGCGGCTGCAGCGGCCGCCAGGGTGCCCGCTGCCGCCGCCAGCCCTGCCGCGCGCGTTGGCGCGGGCCGCCCCCCACCCCGCCCGAATTCGCCGCGCTGCGACCTCTCGGAGACAGAGTGCGAGCCCGAGGAGCGCAAGTGCCGCGCCGACGAAGTCCCCAACGACAGGGGCGGGCACGCGCGCAAGTGCCGAGATCAGGCCGCGCTGGACGCCGTGCCCCTACTCGCGGAAGACGCCGAGCTGTCGGGCACGCTCGAGCCCGCGGGCGCGCTGGAGGCCCGCCCGTGCTACAGCCGCCTGCCTCCACCGCGCGGCGCGCCTGGAACGGCGCCGCGCGCGGGTCGGCCGCCGCCGCCTTGGTGACGTGGTCGCCCGCGTGACCGCGCCGCCGCCGCCTTGGGCCAGGCCCGCGGCCCGCCGCTGCCGCCCCGCCTACTTATGCCCCCCCGGTGACTCGGCGCGCGGCTGGCGGCGCGGGGGCGGTCCCCGACGTTGAGCCGCTGAGGCGCCGAGGCGCCCGTGGCCCAGCTGCGCGAACCCCGCCCCCTGGCCGCCGAGCAGGGCGAGGGGTGCGTCGCGCTGGTCGCGAACCGCGATGCGGAGCAGGTCCACCACGCCTTCGGGGCCACGCCGGTCTCCCTGAGTCGCCCTCGGCTCGGATGGGACGGCCGGCGGCTGCCCGCGCTCGACTGGGCGGTGGAGGTGCCGCGCGAGGTGAGCCCCCCTCACCAGCGGCCGCCTGGCCGCAGAGGCCCGAGCTGCAGGGGCGCCGCTGCTCATCGCGCCGACCCGCGCTGAACGCGCCCCCCAGGGCGTCGCCGCAGATGGTCGTAGCATGGGGCGCGCCGGGGTCAGCCTTCTGCAGATGCGCAAGAGGCTGGGCCGCCCCGAGCACGCGCTGGTGAGCTTCCTTGAGCCGGAGGAGCAGGCCGGCAAGGCTACGGAGGGCGGAGAGTTCGAGGGGCAGTCGGGGACGTCAGCCCCGCCGACCCCAAGGCAGCCCGAGGACGAGTCGCCGCTCCGAAGGGTCGGGGGCCCCCATCCGCGACGACCTGGTCGACCTCCTGCTGCGGGATCAGCAGCAGGAGCCCGAGGTCCTGGTCAGAGAGGCCCTAAGCGCCCTCATTTCCGAGGAGGCGCGCCGAGGAACGGCAGCTATCCGTTGGCGCGCCCCCGACGGGGGCGTCGGCCCCTGACTGCCCGCGCCGGGGGTGACCGCGGCCAAACGCCCCAGGGGCGCGGCGGCGGACCTCGGGCCCGAGGCCCAGGGCGAGCCTCAAGACAACCCCCTGGGCCTCTTCCGAACGGGAGACGAAGGGGGCGACAGTCTGCGGCAGGCTGGGGCGACGCCCGTGGTCTGCCAGCAACGCCACGCGGGCAGCGCCCCGATCGGGGGCCAGCACTGCTTCGAGGACCTCGGGAACGCGAAGGTCCAGCCGGTGCTGGAGGCAGTCGCAGACAGCACCTGCAAGGCCTACGAGCTGGGCTGGAGGCAGTGGACCCAGTTCTGTCGGATCCGAGGGCCATCGCCCATCCTCCAGGGGGAAGCGGCCACGGCGGACAAACGCCGCAACGACGAGGCGGAGCTGCTGCCGTTCGTCGTGCGCCTGAGCGTGACCATGAAGAAGGCACCTCTTCGGCATCAAGCATCAGCGCGATGCAGGAGGAGGAGGAGGAGGAGGAGGAGGAGGAGGAGGAGGACCAGCACGCGGCGATCGGAGCGGGGGACCCGCGAGCTGGCAAGCCGCGGGCCTGGCTGGCCCTGACGGGGCTCGCACGCCGAGCTGGAGCACGCCCTCGGAAGCTTCCCACCACGGCGCGCACGACGACGCTGATCCCGGCCAAGTGCCGCCCAGCCGACGTGCCAGATCTCGCCGTGATCTGGCACGGGCTGGCCACCGCCTGGCTCTTCCGTGTCGGGGAACACGCGTGGAGCGGGGGTTGGGACCACAGAGGTGCCGACGGGATGCGATGTGGCCGCACGCCTCGGCGGGCGCCACACGTCGAGCCTGCAGGAGGCCAACGAGGTCATCGCCTGGTTGAAGGGCTCCAATTTGGAGTCCCGAAAGGGTGCGGTGAAAGACCGTGCGGTGACCTCGAAACCCCCCAAGACCTCACCGCACGGTCCGTCACCGCACGGTCTTGGGACCCCGGAGGCCCCTGTCGCCCGAGACATCCTCGGAGAACGACCCGAGTCCCAAAACCGTGCGGTGACCCCGAATCCCCACCGACTCACCGCACGGTGTGGTCACCACCCCGTTTGGGGACTCCCGATCCAAAGCTGACCAGCTGCAGGCGGGAGCGGCACGAAACCCCTACCGCGCCGGCGACACCCTATGCCCGGTGCTGGCGGCCGAGTGGTTGTAGCGGCATTTCCCGGAACGCTCCACGACCGAGAGGCACCTCCCGCTCTGCCGCGGGCAGGACGGGGCGCCGGCGAGGAGGGAGCAGCGGGCGCCAGCGAGGAGGTAGCAGCTGCAGGAGGTGCTCGAGCAGGTCGCGAGGGACGAGGGCCTCCCAGCCGACCGCATGCGGACACACTCGCTGCGCATCGGGGGCGCCACTGCCCTCTACAACATCTACCTGGACGTCGAGCTGATCAAGGGGTTTGGCCGATGGAGCAGCACCTCGTTCCGCATGTAATTGTCGGAGGCAAACGAGGGCACGAAGGGCGGGGCAGCCAACATGACAGGAGACACGACCTCGCTGCATGTCGGCTACAGGCTGACGGAGATGGATCGGCCCGAGGCGCATCGCCCAGGCGCGAGCCCCACCAGGGGAGGACGGCCACTGCTCGCGCCCGCCAAGGGGGGTGGTGGGGCCACGAGGGGGGAAAGACGAGTACTTCCTGCGCCTCCCTGGGTCCGCCAGAGCTCGCCAGCCCTGCTGCCCCCGTGGCGAAGGAGGAAACCCGCGAGACCACGGCAATGGGAATGAGGCGCGCCCGCTTCGGAGAGGAGGGCGCTGAAGCTGCCCAGGGCGCAGCCCTGCAGCCGCGCCCGCCGCCGGAGGAGGCAGCCCCACGGCCACGCCTGCAGACGGGGCCTCAGGGGCGCCAGCCGCGGCCACGCCGGTGCCCTGGCAGCCGTGCCCGCCGGGGGCAGCAACCCCCCCACCCCCCGGGGGCGCCAGCAGCGGGCGCGCCGGCGATCCCGCTGGGGCCGACGCCTGAGGAGGGCTGGGCGTCTAGCAGCCAGCAACGGGCGCCGCAATGCAGCGGGGCCGGAGGGGCCCGTGGCCGTAGGGCAAGGCTGCCGCAGCGAGCCGGACGTCGGCCTGGCGCGCAGGGGGGCCGCGAGCCTGGTGAGGCTCCGAGCGAGTGGGGGGAGCAGGCGCTCTCCGCTGCCACACTGGCCAGCGCTGGCTGCTGGCCAGCGCTGGCGCCGAGGGCGGCGCGCGCGCACCGTCGCCGAGACAAGAGAGCGCGTGGCCTCCCTCGTCTGTTTCAAGGGCCCCGCGGATCCGGTTCTCCCCGCGGGGCGTCGAGTGGCCCATCTGGGCCTACTCGAATGGCTTGTTTCTGCGAGCTGTGCCATTTAAACCGAGTCCTACGTTTTCCCGATGAGAGAGGGCCCAGATGTACAAATCTTCGTCGTCCCAGGTCCTGGAAGATCGATCCCCAGAGCGGTGGACATGTATAAATCACAGCCTCGCAGAGGAGGGCGCATTCCAGGAGGAGCCTTCTCGATGTACGGTGCCCACAGGTCCCCAGACGCGCTCGGGCTGCAGCCCAGCAAGCCGCTGCCGTTGGGGTTCCCAGGGAGCCGCTCGTCGATCTCGATGTCGACCGGCTTCCAGGTCTTCAGGTCATACAGCGTTACCACGTACCTCGGCTACACGTAAGAGTGAGCCTAGGCAAAAGTGCCCTCTGGTGCGAGACCCTAGGTGGGGGCGCGAGGGGGCCAAAACCAAGCGCGCAAGCCGCCGCTGCCGCTTCACGCTCAGCAATGGGGGAAACCCGTTGGGCCCGCATCAAAGGTCACTCTTACGTCTAGTCGAATGCCTTCAGATTATGACGACCTACGGGACCACCCCAACCCAACCCGAAGACCCGAATTTCGGATTTTGGGGGGTACGGGTTCCTTATGTGTTTTTTCAACGTTCCCCGAACCCCCCCACCGGAACTGGAGGGCAAATATGGCCTTCGGGTTGGGTTGGGGTGGTTTGGTCGGTGGTGAGATTACTTAGCACACACAGCACGAGAACAACAATAATGAAAGGAGGCTACGCTGCAGGCACAAACACGGTCCCAAATCCAGCAGCGACCCGTGTTGGGCTGGAGACGTCCAGCTCACGAATGGATCACCTCCGCGGCGACAGACACAGCGGACCCTGATCAAGGTGGCATCGCCCGGATGTCCATGCCCCGTGCATGTTTCGGCTTCGTGCACGTTTTTGTTGCCAGGGATGATCCAGGATGCTCCTCGATGGTCCTCCCCGAGAAGAGATGCACACGTCCCAGCGATGCCAAGGAGATGCTGTCGGTCGAAGTCGAATTTCCCTCCAGTCCTCCTGAATCACGAGGGTCGGGAAGAAGGCACATCCGACGTTTCTGGCCACTGAGTCCTTGCGGATCGGTCCAGCCCGAGGCATCCAGCCTGAAGACGAGGTGGTCAGCTCCAGCAGTGATTCTGTCCACGACGCTGCGTCCTTTTCCGCGACGTCGGATCTCGGGGGATGGGGACGATGACGACGACCACTGCGGTGTTTTCGCGACATCCGTCTCAGGGCACTTGTTCTCACCCGGGCCTGTCGGGCGCAGCCAAATGAAGGGTGGCAGCGGAGTGGGTGGCGGTTCAGAAGACACTACAGCCGAACATACGATCAAGAAGCGCATAATTTAATAAATCTGGGCCAGCTTCCTGGAAATTCCTCAGCATGAATCTGGGCCAATGTCTGCCGTTAACGCTATTAACGCTGGAAAGGCGATCGTGCTCAAGAAACTGGGCCAGCTTTCCGGCAAAGTAATCAATAAACGCTGGCTCAGCTGTTCGAGAGGAGGTTGCTTAATCATATGCTCGACTGTAGGGAAAGAGGCGGGAAAGAAATACACAAACGCTGACTTCGGGCGTCCAAGGACAACAGGTTTCTGCCAGTGCTAGGCCCGCCGCCCCCCCCCCTCCCCCCAACGCGCTCGGGATGCGGCGCCCACGTGGAAACCGTCCGCGAACGTCCGACACCTCATGCTGTATATGCTCTTCTGGCAGAAGAGGCGATTTGCATACACCATGAGGCAGCAATGCCAGCGTTTGCCCGGTCACAAGGTAGTCCCCCCCACCACATTTGGCTTACTCTGGCCTGGTAAGGACTCGATTCCTGGAGTTTTGTTGAACACCTTCTTGACTGCACCCGAAAACTCGGCCAAGGCAGACATGGCGGAGAGCAGCCAACAATCGCCTACGCTGCCCTGCAGCACGTCGTTTGGGTCCACGTCCTTGATGACGCTCAAGCCCGGCACATCTGCGCAGCCTTGCCCTCGGCCCGGTTGCTTGCCCTGTGTGCACGGAGCGCCCGCGTACGCCATGCTGTCCGTAAATTGGTCGGGCTGCACCTCGCAATCAGGCAGGGCGTGGTACTTGCTCTCGACGTAAGTGAACGGCCCTCCTTGCGTTTCCTTAACGACAATCCTTTGCTTCCTCCGCTCGCACAGCGAATACTGCTGCTGCTCCGTGGGCCACGACATCATGTCCGTCTGGTACCACAGCGAGAGGTACTTGTGAGGCTCCTGCTTGAGCAGGTCCAGACCCTCCTGGATCGGGCCCGTCTTCTCTTGAACGACGGGTGTCCCACCGATGATGCCGTAGGAGCCGTCGTACTCAGTGCTGGTCAACACCCACTTTCCAGCGTCGTGGTCGCCGAAATTGACCATACGCTTAGCCTGGGGCCGCCGCCCGGCCTTCTCCTGCGGTGGCTTGCGCCTGCCTCGCATGCTGCACTTCACCACCTCCTGCTCCACGGGCGCCACAGCGGGCTCCGCAGGGGCCGCCTCAGCGGGCTTCGGTTCCTCAGCCGCCGGCTCGGAGCCTCCCACCGCTTCGACGACGTTCTTCTCCTCGGCGGACGCTGAAGAACGCGAAATCTGAGGTTGAGTGGGAAGGTAAGGACCACTAGGGTGGCTGGCTTATCAGACCTGAAGGAACGGGGGAAGGATGTGGCAAGGGACGGGATTAACATACACAGGTACTCCAGGCTGGCCTCAACAAGCCTCCAAGGTAGCCCAAGACGGTCTCCGGACCCCAAGCCCAGAGCGCCACTGGAGGCGGCCACGGGGTAATGATACCTCCCTGGACTAACATGTAAGAGCCAGCAGGACTACATCCGCGTGCTGCCTGTGAGCAGCCCTAGTCCTTGCCAGGAGGGTGCACATAAATCCTAAGCTGCGAAAGCACGCTCGCATACGTACACACATGTTTTCTCCCTCCAGCAGCGAGGCGACGGGTCGCACTTAGGCGAATTTTCACCTGGCGCAGCAGATGGGTGGGCTGAGCATGGCGGTCGCGTGCAGGAATAAGCCGAGACGTGCACGCACGTGGAAAAGGCCGGAGCGGACATGCAGTGCAAGAGAAGGTCAGCCGAAAGACCAGCCAGCAGCACGGCGAAGAGCGAACGCTAATGGCAAAACGCCGCAGCACTCGGGCGCGGCGTGTGCAGCACTGACGTGGCTGCGGTAGTGACGCCGATCGCCGGCGGCGCTGCCTTCGCCGTCCAATCGGCGCCACATGTGAAGACGGAGAGACCACACACACACACTTTTTCCCAACGCACTGATGGAACCAGGCACAAGAGCGAAAACTGCTCGTCCCGCCAAAAAAAACGGCGCCGACACCAGCAGGGGCCCGGCAAGCGAGCAGCCCAGCAGAGCGGGCCCAGACGGCACCAAGAGGAATCGAGAACGGCGATCGACAAAAAGGCTGGCGCAAACACGCGGCCAATACGTGAAGCGAGCGCGAGCAGGAAAACGGAAGCACGAGAGTCCGAGACATGTGGCCAACAAAAAGCGCGCACACAGAACGTCGCGACATGCTGATACTTCTGGTCTTCCCGGACCGGATCGATCCGGGACAGTCCTGGGGCCCGAGACGGGGAGGAGGAGGAAGAGTTCTCTCTGAAGAACCTCAGAGGCCCGAGAAAACCAGGAAGCCAAAACAACATGGCACCCGCAATGCTGTATCCCAGGCCTCCGACGTCACGAACTGTCCAATACGAGATCCATGGACCCCCCGACCCCCGCCAGGAAGAGTCGGGCCATCGCCCCGGATCGCTTGGCGACAAGCCTAGAGCCCAGAGATGGCGCCCGCAGGAAGAAAGCCCTGGACAGGGAGGAGGAGGAGGAGGAGGAGAAGGAGGGGGAGGAGCTGCCTCTGGCCCAGGACGCCAGGGGCCTGAGACACTCGGGCACTCGGGGATCCCGTGGGGAAGGGGAGCAAAAGGAAAGACCCCCATGCGAAGCGGGAACCTATCCACATCCACCGCCCGGGAATCGACGCCCCGGCGCCCCAGCGGGCGGTGGATATGGATATACTTTGGCCCCCGAGGGCCCGAATCTATCTATATCCACCGCCTGTGGAGATCCGCGAAGATCGATCCCCCAGGCGGTGGATATATTTTGGCCCCCGAGGGCCCGAGTACACCCTGGTCGGAAGACGTGGGCTGAAACATCGAGTAGGGAGGCGTTGGAAGTAGATTGGGCTTCCGCCCGCCCCCTGAAGAAGAGGAGAGAAGGAGAACCACTCAACTCTTGAAGTAGGAAGGCGCCTACAGTAGATTCGGATTTGGGCATCCAGAAATAACTACGTACTTTCAACGACAGGCTTGTATATCCATATCCACCGCCTGTGGAGGTCTGCGAAGATCGATCCCCCAGGCAGTGGATATGGATAAATCCCCGCCTCGGACTTCAATGGGCCCGAGAAGCGGCAGGGCCGTGTTGTCACCGTTTCCGAACACGTGTCTCTTGAAAGCGGAAACGGTGAAGAAACACTGCGACCAAAAACGGCAAAAACAATGGTTTTGCTATTGGACGAGAGCCAGAACTGGCCCCGAAACGGCGACGGGATCGGCAGCAAAAACGGCGACGGAACCGACGGAACAAAAAGACAAAACGAAACCGATGTACAAAAACGGCCCTGTCGTTTCCAGGGCCCACTAGGGGAAGGAGCGCCGAGGCGGCCGAGTCGCACAAGGCCCGCTGCGCCTCGCTCTTCTCCGCGGCCACCGGCGTCGGAGTGGCCGCCTCCCAGCTCTCGTCCTCCCCGCCTTCCTCTTCCTCCCTCTGCTGCTCCTCCTCCTCCTTTTCCACCTCCTCCTCCTCCTCCTCCTCCTCCTCCTCCTCGTCCGCCTCCATCGTCCTCCTCCTCCTCCTCCTCCTCCTCCTCGTCGTGGTCACCGTCGGCACTCAAGACCAAAAAACTGACCATGAAGGAATTGTACCGAGCATACCTTCACCAGACTCCTGCACCATTGCCCGCACATGCCAGGGAGGGAGCACGAACCACGTTAGGCTACATAATCCCACCAGCCCTTTGGGCGTAGGTGGTTTAATGATTTTTGTTTGTTTTTTTTTGTTCTCTCTCTCTCTCTCTCTCTCTGCAAAAGCTCACTCCTTCCCCTGTCTGGGGGAAGGGTTTATCACTGTTTCCCTATCCCTCCCCCAGGCGACCGCCAGCCAACCAGGACCAACGAGACCCCCCCCCACCATCCCTGTCAAAAAACCACGTAGAATCCACTTTGGGGCAAAACCTTGAGTCATGATCGGGGGGGGCGCGAACACTTCGTCTTGTTTTTGACAAGGGCGGCGCGGGGTGTCCGCATATCGCCTGCTTCGCGCAGGGCCACTATCCTTATCAAAAACATTACAAAATGCACTTCGAAGCAATATTTGGATCATGCGCGGGCACCCCGCGACCACTGTGCAGTAGTTTTTGAAAGGGACGGCGGGGGTGCTGGTTTACTGCCACCTATGCGCAGGCCAACCAGACGCTATGGGGGCCATCCCGCAGCGATTGCGCACTGGTTTTCGACGAAGGTGATGGGGGCCGGCGCGTTTTCCGATGTGTATTGTCACGTGCGCAGCTGCACCTAACGCGCTCAGAACGTGCCCTGAACGTTGCGCAGTCGGCACGGATGGAGCATGCGGCATATCTGGCGCACGTGAATCACGCGGTGCATCTGGCGCACCAGGTGTCCTGGCACGCTTTGGCCACAAGGGTGCCTGGCGCACCTGGATTGAAAAGCGACGGTCTGGAGGGTGCAAGCAGGGACCCTGCACTTTATGATAACGTCGTAGACGTACCATGGCATGTCATGGCTTATCCCACGCCGAAGAGTTGGTGGGTGGGCAAGCGATAATGCAAGAGAAGAAAGGGCGCACCATCGAAGGATACGGGCGTCCCCTTTTCCGCCATTCAGGTGCAAGTGCGCCTCGCGGGCGCGAGGCAGCCAAATAGAACGGCGCCGCTTGAGCCGAGCGGCGTCGGACGTAGGCGAGGCGCTCGTTATGGTCACATTCGCCCGTTGACCTCCGTTGAAAGTCTGGAAGGGGGGTGGCCGAGTGCCGAACCATGCCAACATACACTTACATAGAAGGTAAAGACAGCAGCAGAGCAAAGCAGCGGGGAGGGCCATCTTCTATTTGTTCAGACAGCCCTCACAAACAGTTCAAGCACAACTGGGCTTATATGGCTGGCCGCGGGGGTCCTCCGCGCGCGGTCAGCAAATTCATTATGGCTTGCTGCGGGAGACCTCCGCACGCGGCCAGCGAAGCCATGTGGAGCGGGTTGGCCTATAGCTCCAGACGAGCAATGGGTTCGCCCAAATTTAGGCAGGCGTCTGAAGCAACAACCTTCAGACACCATAGAGCAGTGAAAGGAAGGCCGTGGTCAGGCCAATGCTGACACATAGCCCGCAATCCGCCGATACCCCGTGACTGGGCAGTTGCCAATAGCTGAGCGTTTGCATGCCATCATCCTGCTTGCGCAGACGTAATTTCCGCTGGCCCTGATGCGGGCCGGGCTAGGACGTGGTTGCACAGTTCCCTAGATACGAGGTGTGCATCTTTACCTCATGCTTGAATGGATGTATTCCTGGCATGACTTGTAGTCGCAGTGCACGATCAATGCAGCTTTGGGCATGACAATTAGCCATCGCATCTCGTGTCTCACACCACTGTGCGCTATGAACGATACCTCGGTCCATCATCTGTCGGACCCCTGCTGTACCTCAGCAGGATACCTGCCGCTGGCTTCTTCAGATCCTTACTGATAGGGCCTTGAAGACCAACTCGGCGTCGATAGTGAGGATGGCCTTCGTGTTTAGACCACCTATATCTGAAATGTGATTGACTTGCGTCGGCGTGGGTAGCCCAGCTTGTAGCTCGTGTAGCGTCGCGATGGTAGGATCGCAAGTCGTCCAAGTTACGGGCAGCTGCTAGGGCTCCGGCAGAATAACTAAGCCGCGCCTGCAGTTGGCGCGATTTGCAGTGCGCGTCGACCAGGTACGCTACTGCCATGCAATTTGGCGCGCGGCCGCGCAGCAAGAAGTTAGCTCCTCGGATGCCGCGCCCCTTGACTTCGTCGTCAGCACCGCCGTTGAGGCGTCGATAACCTGGACCCCGATGCAGGTCCACTCCTCATGTCGGAAGTGTCATGTGGCATGTGATTTTATACGGGCCCTGTTATCATGCACGCGTTGCGGCAGTGAGTCGTCGCACCTGCATGTCGGTCGATTTTTGGGCAAGTTGTAGACAGACCACATATGCCATTTGCCGCGCTTGGGCGATCGAGGCGCATGCCAGTGCACCGCGGAAGCTGATGAGCATATCTGACGCAGTATTCGTCGCCTTTTGTGTCGCTTCTGCTCTAGTGAGTTCTGGATGCCGTGCGGGGCGAAGCTGTTTATAATAATCATCCTGATCGAGCTGGGTCGGGCGGCCCTCGGTCTTAGTGTAGCGCGCGGCGCAAATTGTGTAGCTTTGCTTGCTGAGTGTGCATGCGCCGAACGTACTTTCTACGCGTGTGACAGGTGTCAATCGTGTCCTCGACTCCCGCCATA